TCATAGCTCTCCACAAATTCCTATCCACTGTAGTGTTTAGCAGCAATTCTCCCTTTGTCAAATCTCCAACCCCCTATTCCATCATCCATTTACAGAAGCCCATAGAGTAGATGGCCTGTTACCATCCCCCATGTCTTTTGACCTCAATATGTCTTTTGAGAGTTAAGTTTTCCAAGCCCTCCTTCTTCATTATGTGTCCAATAAATTTCAGCTGTCATTTTCTGATTCCAAGTATAAGTGTTCTTTCTGTTGCCATTTTCTTTAAGACTTCCTTGTTGCTTAATTGCTCTGCCCATAGAATTCTCGGTATCCTTCTGTAGAATCTCATTTTTGTTACCTCCAATTTCCTCCATCTTTAGTAAGATGGTCCAACATTCACTGCCATAAATGAGGATTCACATCACGTAGCAATTTAGCATTTTGTTTGCAATAAAAAACTATCAGATACCACAACTTTGCCTATAAGAGCTTTTCACTTATTTTTAAGAGCATCAACTAAAATAAATCTGATATAATTTTGCCTATAAAACCTGGGAGATATTTTTTAATATTTTTTTTTTATTATTATTTTATTTTTAGGAAAATAGTTATCCATCAGAATAAATAGGCAATGTATAAAATTTTTAAACACAGCAGTAGAACTAAATTTTCTTGCACAGCATTATTACTTGAAATAAATATTGAATACAAAAGCTTCTTGCTTTGTAACCATTTGATTTACAGTTTTTTGACTTTTCAATTCAATGACAGATGAATATTCAAAAGTATTAAACTGTTAAATTTTTATGTTTTGAAAGTCAATCAAGTAATGCTATACAATATTTTTTTCCAGTGCTAGGATAAGATAACAATCAACCTAGCCTCCAATCTCACTAGAAGTTGTATACATTAACATCTCTTAATGTTATTATTCAGATGTTAGTTTTAACAGATACCCATGTTTGAAATAGATGCCCCCATTATTATTTTTTTTATTTTGTATTATGTCTATGGATGCACATTGGAGTAAAGAATAATACCTTGGATTGCAGAATTGTAGAGCCAAGTTTGAATTCCATTACAGTTTGTCACATTCATTTATGTGCAAATACTCTTGGGAAAGGTATGAATTCATCCCTTCTCCCATCAGTTGTGGGTAAATAGCAAGACAGACTGGGTCCTATAGCCTTGAATAGCAACCAGTCTAGGAGAAGGAAAACTGAATTCAACATCTCCAATTATGGGTTAAATAGCCTCACCAACTGCCAAGCATGATGAGTATGATTACACCCCTGAAGACATGATCAGAGATGAGTTCCTTCAACAGGAATGAGAAGGCTATTGATATAGATTTGGATCCAAGACAGGTTACCCTTAACGTGGGAGTCAATAATAATAATTAAAAAAAAAAACTTAAAATAAAAAACAATGTCTATAGGGGTTTCTATTTCAAACAAGTGTATCTATTAAAAGTAATGGTTGAAGTAATAAAAATCGATTAATGCTTTAGAAAATGCTTTATTTATATTTCAGACATGAAACTGGACAGGCATGGGCTTTTGTGAAATCTGAATTTTTTCAGAAATACACTTGGAAAATGTATGAATACATCTCTTCTCCCACCTATGGGTTAAATAGCAGAGTAAACTCTCTAGCTTTGGGTGCCAGCCAGTCTAGGAGAAGGACTACTTTGAATTCAAAACTGTAGAGAATACAAAAGGAAACAATTCCACTATCTTTCCAAATAAGTTATGGCAATCCATATAAAATTAGAAAAAAAAAATTGAATCTGTGGAGAGCTACAAAACATACTCTGAAGTCACATGGCATTAAAAAAAAAAAAAAAAAAAAAAAAGAAAAAAAAAGGAGTCATTTTATATCCCAATAGATGGAATTAAACAATTCCATAAATCACAAAGTGACTAATCAGTAGACTTACTATAAGGAAGACCAACCTTTATCAAACCTCATAGACTAGCATTAGAGAATCACAAAGCAATGTACCAGATAACAGAAACCATAACATTTGAGGACTCAACAATAGTAACAACTAAAATGGATAGCACATGTAACTCGAAGAGAGAATAATGACATTGTACACTGTCAAACAAAAGGCAAGAAAGGAAATCCACATGAATATTGGAAAGAGGAATAAGAGCTACTAATATTAAGAAAACTATTTTAATGAAAAATCATTTTAAGAAAGATTTTATAAATTTCAACCAGCAACAACACTAACTGCTCAGTAAATGAATGTCAAATGTTTCCTTATAAGGAAATGGCTAATATTACTATTACCAAACCAGGACAGTTTCATAACCCAGCAACATATTTATAACTTGGAAAAAAAAAAATCAGTCATTAAAATTAATCGATGCAAAATGTTCATTGTTTTTAATTGTATTTGCCTTAATGAAAATTTGCTGCCTAAATACACTATATATTAGTAATTGCGGCTGCCTCCTGCTTATAACTTTTGGCACTTCTGGTAAAGGACATCCACATCTTCCTGTTATGGCATCTTGATAATAGCTACTTGTCAAATCTGAACAGTAGTTAAGAAACATTTCTCATCCAATGACACTTGGATTATGCTCTTGCTGATTTTTAAAGTTAGCTTGGATCAACGGCATGTCAACATATTTAGTCAAACTCATGCTTTTAATACAAATGGAGTTTTTAGGAGAAATGTACAGTCATTTTTACCAAGTGACCTTATATATACTAATTGTGTAATATTTTACCTACTTTGCAAATCAATATAAAAGGAACAACTGTTTATAGAGACCACAATTCATGGTCTGGATATGTTCTGCTGAAATGAAATCCACTGTACAATAAAAAATATTATCACATTAATAACTGCTATGGTAACATTTGCCTATCACCTTGTTCACACTCCTCAGTTTTTTTGACAGGAGTAGAGGATTATATCTTGTTTTCTGCTTAGGATTGGGTTTCCAGTTCTCTCTAGTATTCTCATTCTCTTTCATTCCCAGTAGACCCTTGGGTCTTAGTGGCAATGTCATCTTAATTGGGGTGAATTGATTTAAAAAAAAAAAAAAAAAAAAAAACGCAGTGCATGGATGGTATTCCAAGTTGCTAAAATTACATAAGTTCATAGAATGTCATTTACTTGCTTGTTAGTTTAAGAATTATAAATCTATAATTTCATTTGGGATTTAAAAGAGAACCAGTCCCTAACCTCGAATCAGCCCATAATTTCATAGACAAAAATATAGGTTGTTATGAGAGAACCAGTTTTTAACTTCATTAACAAAAAAATATGAAAGTGTAAAGAAAAAGAACTGGTTCCTAAAAAAAAATAATATCCTATTAAAGTCTGAGTTATATAATTAAAACTATGAAATAATTCATTAATTCCAAAGTTGTCTCTACCAGCTTCCATACTAAGCTAAATCAACAATCATCATTAAATGCTGTGAATCTTTTGTTCCACCCACTCAAATGTATTTAATGTGTCTAGAGATGAATATCTATGTAAACATCAATCCTGCATGAATGTTAGATGTTTGTATATCTATGAGAACATGCTGAAATATTCTAAGCCAACTCACTTCCCAAATTCTGACTAAATAACCAAAAATCAAAATTTTTTTAGATGCTTTCTTGGTTAGGCTGAGAACTCTTCTGCACCCACTTGAACAAGACAAGAGAATCAGAAACATCTATTTGCACGTACAGATGAAGTTTTTAGGAGAAATATAATATATAACTAATATTATCAAGCATTTCAAGGTGATTTATAGAAACATCAATAATGAATGATACACTGCCTAGAAGAATGAACTTAATAGGAATAAATTGTAGCAACAACCACAAGAGAATCATTCAATAATGAAATACATTACCAACTCAGTAATTTTATTTCATATAGTAATTGAGAATGCAGAAGTAAAAATCTAAGCACTCAACACATCTCTCCTGCCTCATTAAGTCAAACACATGATAGCATATTCCAAATTATAATATTACTTTTCTCATACAAAACTGATAATATCAAAGTGAAAATTATTATAAAATGTATTCATTTACATTTGTTTTCATACTTCATAAAATATGATACTTCTTTATTACTGTTGTTTGATGTATGAATTTGCTATGATATGCTATCAGTAGCCAACAGTACTATAGAGATGAGTAAAAAAAAAAAAAAAATGTAGGTCAGATTAAGTTCTCTATCTACCCTTGGGAGATCAACCATTCTAGGACTATGAGGGGGACAACTATGAATTCAAAACCATAGAGAAAGTAACAGGAAACTATTCCATTATCTTTCCCAGGAACAATCATGGTTATGCACTGTTTAAAGATATTAAATAAAAGAAAGTAATGGAGAATCATAATCAGACATGAAATAACATGACCTTTTACAAAAAGGAATTCAAAAGGTAAAATTAAACATGATCACATTATTGAATAAAAATTTCAAAATACTTCAATTTTAACTCTTGTAATTTTTTCTTTTTTACAAAGTCAAATTCTGATGAATAGAATTCACAGCAGAATTAAACTGGAAATAGGACAAGAACAGTGCAGTGTCATTAAGGACACTCAAACAAGGAATGCAATATTTATGCTCAGAATCATAAATGCAAAAGAACATGCCTAGGTTTTGTAGATTATACAAAAGTATTTGATAAAATACATCAGCATATATAGGGAATAAATCAAATTGATAACTTAAAATTTAATAGAGAGCAGTTGATAATAACCAGTAGTTATTGATCGTTTTCAACAGCTTATCAACCCTTTGCTGGTTATTTAAATCCAGAAAATATTTTTAGCTTGTATGATTTTTTTTTTGGGGGGGGGGTGAGATAATAGTTTTTGTGATACAATTCTTACTAATTAACCCATAGCTAAGGGAGGTAGATTCATACTTTTCCCAAAGCTATTTTTATGTAAGTGAATATAACAAACCTGATAGAAACTGGAACTTGTCTCTCCAATTAACAATTCTGAGCTATTATCCATTACACCACCCATATATCCAAATTTACATCACCTGGTATTCCCAAATGGTCACTCATCTAGGTACTGACCTGGCTTGATGTTGCTTAACTTTGGTGATCATAAAGGAACAGCCAGTAGTTGGTTGCAATATCTTTTACAAAAGTATAAAACTTTGAAACCATTAATTAACTAACAAGAAGTTTATGTACAAAATAGTATCCAGTTTTGGAAAAATGAGTTAGAATCTGGTTGATTGATTTGTTTTTTATTTTTACAGCTTATCAACTTTTGCAAGACTTAAGCCAGCAAATATTCTTGGGTTTTATGAATTCTTTGGCAATGATAATGATTTACTGATACATGTCCTAATAATTAACCTATAGCTGAGGAGAAAAGAGGATTCATACATTTTCCAAAGGTATTTGCACATAAGTGAATATAAACAAACCCAACTAGAATTTGAACTCAGCTCACTGATTTCCAATTCTAAGCCATTATCCATTATACCACCTGCACATTCAAGCTTATAGCTCCTGATATTCCCAAGCAATCACCCATCTAGGTACTGACGAAGCTGAACATTGTTTAACTTCAGTGATTGTACAAGAACAGGGTTTCAACATGATATGGCTGTAAGTCTGATAAGAGTCTTGATTAGTTCTGATTGGATCCACCAAACCAAAGATGGAGTCTGATGTTGAAAGACGAACATCCATGATCCTGGTTATAAAACATCGCTGACACCACCCCCACCAGTGTATCAGAAAAGCATATTTTGTAAATTATGACATTCACTACCTGATCTATGAATTGAACTCACAAACACCTAGTAATTGGATGCATTTAAACAATGTTTTTATCCACAAGACCATGTTTCCCAACCTAAGGCCTTATTGGCCAAAATGTACCATGGCAAATTTCAGGTGTGCCACAGAAATTTTATAATTGGATATATTCTATTTAAAATGGAGGTATTTTTTTTTTTTTTTTTTTTACTCTATAATAATATTTCATGGGCCACAGAAAATTTCTGAGTTGAAACTGGGCCATGAGCTAAAAAAGATTGGGATTGGGTGGTGTAATGAATAATGGTTCAGAATTGTTAATTGGAGAGATAAGTTTCAGTTTCTATCAGGTTTGTTATATTCACTTACATAAAAATAGCTTTGGGAAAAGTATGAATCTACCTCTTCTCCCTTAGCTATGGGTTAATTAGTAAGAATTGTATCACAAAAACTATTATCTCCCTCTCCAAAAAAAAAAAAATTCGTACAAGCTAAAAATATTTTCTGGATTTAAATAACCAGCAAAGGGTTGATAAGCTGTTGAAAACGATCAATAACTACTGGCCGTTATCAACTGCTCTCTATTAAATTTTAAGTTATCAGTTTGATTTATTCCCTACATATGCCTTTGGTAAGAAGGTTCCTCTCAGAAATTGTCTTCCTAAGAACTGTTCCCATGTGGGTATTTCCCTGAATCCTACAATCTTAATCTCTTTAAATCTAGGCTCAATTATTATCTATCTGCAATATCCTCACAATCTTCCTCCTCTTATACTGACTGAATAGATTAATGTATGATAATCCTCATTTCAGAAAAGTCTACTATTTTATGCTGGGCCATGAGTGAAAAAAGGTTTGGAATCACTGAATAGATTAATGTATGATAATAAAAAATCTCATTTCAGAAAAATCTATTTCATGCTGGAATTATCCCCATTCTGAAACTAATTTTGGACTATGATACAGTTGAAGTATTAATCTGCTTGTTAATAGATAAAATAAGGATGAGCAGCAGGACAGAACTTATCAGAAATGTCTTTTGATGAAAGTTTAGCATTACACAAAAATGTTTTTTTAAAAATAAAGAAGATACAATTAGAAAAAATATTGAAAGTTCAAGAAAACAATTTGACAGTTCAGATATTTATTGAACCACAAATAGAAACTAAGAGTATATAAAATGATAGCAAATATTAAAAATGCAAATAAAATATTGATTTTGTTGGCATCCAAATTTGCCTCAGGTATCTAAGAAAAATGACCAACAAGACATTCAAGCTTCTCTCGGTTAAAATATTAGAATACCTTTTCTAAAGTAAAAATGTGGCTCCTAGATGTCTTACTACAGAAATAAGATTATTCCATTATCTATGTCATGTAACAAAGTTATTCTTGAAATTTTGTTAAATGTTTGAAGCAATGAGTGACTTATTGCCATACTGGTTTATGGTCATATCACGTTGAAACGTTGGTTCTTGAACGATCACCAAAGTCAAGCAATGGTCAGTACCTAGATGGGCGACCACTTGGGAATACCAGCTGCTGTAAGCTTGGATGTGCAGGTGGTGTAATGGATAATGGCTCAGAATAAGTAATCAGAGAGCTAAGTTCCAATTCCAACCATGTTCATTATATATTCACTTATGTGCAAATACCTTTGGGAATTGTATGAATCCATCTCTTCTCCAAGGGTTAATTACCAGGCCTTGTATCAGTAAATCATTATTAACTCCAAAAGATTCTTACAATCCAAAAATGTTTTCTGGATTTAAATAACCTGAAAAACTTTCATGGATGTTATTTGGTGAAATTTATCATGATTAAATTTAATGTGATGAAATGTTGAAGGCAGGCTTAGACCAGCTAGAAAAATGTATCATTTGCTTGAATTCTCAATAAAAAGCCAAGTATTTGAGAGTTCATCAATAAGGAGTTTGTTAATATTTCATCAGGAGAAGTGATAAGTCCATCTGCTACGTTACAAGTTTTGTAGAACAAGTGTTAGTTAATTTGATGTCCACTAAGTGTCCCGCTACTGTATGTTCATGCTGGATTGTGCTAAGTAAAAATATACATGATTGGATCAATGAGTCAATAGCCTGAGATAGACATTAACTGAATTTTGCTCAGAAATTTTCACTGGATAATATTTGATCTATGGAGAAGCATTAAGTTAATTTCATTCTCTGTTAATATGTTTACATTAAAAAAATAGTGTGTAAAATAAATTCTTTTTTTTTTTTTTCATCATTTGGCATTTTTTTTTAATGAACATTCACCCAATACAAGGCCCTAGAACCACTCAAGGTAAAGTGTTGATGCCAATATGGTAATGAATGAGGTGTGTGTGATAGGAATGAAAGAGGAGGAAGTAAGAAGTGAAGATTTTAGGGATAAGGAAGAGGGATAACAATTGACCTTTGACATGAGGAAGTTAAGATTATAGTGTTCTGAGAATCACCCATGCAAGTGTCAATTGCATAAAGTGGAAGTTCTTTGGTAAAAGCTGTCAGAGTGAACCTTCCGCTTACATTTGGGATACTGTGGAAATAAAGATGATTCAACTCCATGGAGGTAGTGTGGTATATCATAGCTGTAAAGATCTTAACTAGTGGAATAAAAAAGATCTAAACATTTGCCATGAAACTAGAAACAAAATAGCAATAACCTTACAATGTTGTATCTCTAGGGAAGAAGGCTGCAGAGTAGGGGATAAGTCTTCCCTTACAATACCATGTAATCAATTTTGAACTTGATCAAGGCTCGAAATTGAGGATTGAGCAGCTCCAGCCTAGATATGGTAGCAATAGTCCATTTTTGATCTGATCTAGCTCTTGTAAAGAAAGCATGGCAGAAGGAGTCAGGTTCTTCCTGAAGGAATAGAATGAAGTTAGCCATTTTTCCAGCATCTTTAGCAATGGATTGTATATAAGAGTTCCACTCGACTTATAAAAAAAATCTACATATGCATAAGAGACTGTCTGATCTATTTAGATACGTCATATATGTTACTAAAATTTTGATAACTCTATAGAACATTTGCAAATGTCAAGAGTTAATTGGATTTGTCAGTAGGCCAAAGTTTTGAATACCGCACAGATAAACAAAAACAAGTTTTCAGTTTGCTTTTTGATTCCTGTATTAAATTCTTTTGTTGAGTTAAGAAAAAAAGCTTTGATTTTTTTAAAAATTTTATTCAGAGTAAAAATATTTGGGTCAATCTATTCACAATTTTTAACTTGCACTTCACAATAAGACATTTGTATGCATGTACTCCTATTTTTTTAAAAGTAACACAACAAAAGAAAATGAATAAAAATAGATAAATCAAAACTGATGTGTTGAGAATTTATAAATGAATATTTAATCTTAATTAAGCTCCAATATTTACTGGCAACTAACCACCTATATGTATATAGGAAATAAGCATACAAAATTAGAAAATGGAGTAAGACAAGGATACATTTTCTAACCAGTTTTATTTAACCTACATAGATACTCAGAGAACTAAAAGACCTACATGGATTTATTGTCAATGTTTAATGTTTTTGCCTGCAACAAAATAACAAGAAACAGTGTGTCAAAAGGATGGTTATTCCTTCAACACTGCTATTACTGCATACACTTTTCACTCCCCCAGTAATGTTTATTTACAAGATTATAAAAGTATGTGTTGTGGAGTAGCTGAACACCCCCACAAGATGGAATGGTCTAAGACTATTTAAACTGCACTCTCTCTTACCGAGGGAGAGGAGTTAAGAATTAACTGTTGATTACATTAGTCTGTGTTCTCAATCATGTACCATATTATTCTGAAATAAAATACTTATTTTCTATATGTATATCAACCTTTCCTATTTATGACACAACAGTATGTGAATCTAGTACAATGTAATATTTACTATTTACCTTTTATAATGATTTATTATTTGCCATTTTATAAAGAAATAAATTTGAAAAATCTTTTTATTCAAAAATTTATAAAACAAAAAGTTATCAAAAATATAATCCAACTACAATGCAATATTTATTATTTATCATTTTATAAATAATTATGTAAACAAATTTTTTATTCAGTCTAATAAGCAGTGTTTAATATCAATTTGCAAAAATAAAGAAAATGTATAAATCCACTTTCATGTTTGTTAAAATTCTAATCATCACTTTTTTAAAAACATTTCAAACATTGTACACCTCCCTCGCCAAAAAGAAAACAAAGGTTAAACATTGCCAATTTATTATTGGTCAATAGAATTTCAATAATATAACATATGCAGATGACACTGTCCCTATGATGGACTCAGAAGGAAAACTACTAGTAAAAGTAGTAAAGGAAACCAAAAG